TAGGCACTGTTTAGACGTAGACAATGACACAGCGTTTACAAATGGTGAGGAATTTTGAATGAGGGTTTTATTCTCAGATAGGGGTTGATTGAGTTAAGCAAGACTTATTAATTTGTCGGGAGATTCCAGCATCTCTTATTTTCTTCAATCACAAGTCTTTAAGCCATTTGAGCAGCATCTAATTTGGTGAAATAAGTTCGTCTGTAATTGTGCTGTCGAGGACCTTTGCGTGCACTTCATCTGCTTTTTCGTTGGTGGAAATGCCACAATGAGCTGGTATCCACTGAAATGTGATAGACTTCTCTGCGGTAACAGCCAGGTGATGTAGGTATGCTATGTCGAATGAAACAGGGTGAGGATTCGTTTTTTTTTGGGGGGGGGGGGGTTGAACAATATCTGTAGTGCTTGCTTGAAGTCGGAGAAAATTACCCATCGGTCTGGCGTTTGGCGCAAGATCTAAAGGACAGCTTCTTTGATGCCATGAAGTTCTGCTGCTGTCGAGGATGTCGTTCGTTGCAGTCGACAGGATAGCATCTCTCTTGTAGAAGGAATATAAAGTCCATAAGCGGAAGTCTCCTGAGTGGTTGAGACGTCGGTGTACATATGGGAGGGCTGAGCATAGTTTTCGGCTATGAAGAGGAGAGTAGTCTGCATCAGCGCAGGCTGTGACATTCGTCTCTTTGTCCCACTGATGCCAGGTACAACGTTTTTTACAGTTTGAGGCGAACGTATTCTGGGAGCAAATGTTACAGGCACTAATTCTTGTGGCTGATTAACAAAGGAGAGTTGAGAGAGAGAGAGAGAGAGAAACGAGAAAAAAGGAAAGCAGGGAGGTTAACCAGATGCTAGTATCTGGTATGCTACTCTACACTGTGGTTGGGGAATAGGGGGTTGAAAGAGAAAGGGAGAGTTAAAAATAAATAAGGAAAAAACACTGACACACACGCACACACAAAATCAGTCCACTCAGAGGCGTTCCGACCGGCCAGCAGTTCGCAAAAAGCCCAGTAGCGCTTGCATGGCTTTCTGTGACGATGAGCCATCACGATGGCGCAGTATACTTTCTTCTGACAGTGGCTGGTCATCTAACCTATTGAGTTTATAAGAAAGATGTTGTCTTTCCAGGTTGTATTTCGGGCAGTCACACAGGATATGTCGAATTGTTTCTTCATCTCCGCAGTGTGCACAGTTGGCGGTGTCGGCCATACCTATGCGGAACGCGTACGCACGAGCAAACGAGACTACCAACAATAGTCTGCACAGAGCAGTAGCGTCGCCTCGTCGAATTTTTGTTGGAAGCTGTATTCTTAACGTTGGATCAAGGGATCGTAATCTTGAATGCGTAAAGAGAGGCTCATTCCAAAGAGCCATGGAGCGTTGGCTAGCAAGCATGCGGAGCCTCCTATCAGTGTCCGTCCTTGCGAGAGGTATTGACTGGTTGTTGTCTTCTGTATGGGCTGAACGGGCAGCTTGATCAGCTCGTTCGTTACCGATAATTCCACAGTGGCTTGGCAACCACTGAAATATAACGCGGTGTCCTTTCTCTGTTATATGATGTAGCCTTTCTGCTGTTTACAATACCAACTGCTAGTGTGGACCACGGCGTAGATTTGACAGAAGTGACTGCAGTGCCGCCTTGCCATCGCAGAATATTGTCCACCGTTGCGTCCTTTGGTCGTTAATGAAACGCAGCGCAGCGCCAAGCGCTGCAAGCTCTGCTGCCGTTGTTGTGGTTGCATGAGCTGTCCAGAATTTGATGGTTGTGGCGTGCGTTGGAATAACGACCACCGCAGTTGAGCTGTTTGGCAGGACGGAGCCATCAGTGTAGACGTGGCTGCAGTCTTCGTACTTCTCGTACACAAGAAGTAAGGTGAGCTGCTTGAGGGCTGATATTGAGAAATCTCGTTTTTTCTGGATGCCTGGTGTTGTCAGGTTGATGACTGGCTGTTTGAGGCACCATGGAGGAATTGAAGGTCTCGCCGCGGGCGTAAAACCAGTTGGTAGGGAGGCACCATGTGTACTTTTTGTTCGACAAAAGGAAGTATGAGGTCTATCCGCTGGTAGAGAGGCTAGGTGGTGATGGGGAGTCCGGCCCACATGCCTTCTGTGTGTCCTCAAAGCTACAATTTCAATATGGGTCTGCACGAGGTGGTATTTGGCTATAGCTATAGTCGCCATTGTTGAGGCACCCTGCGGCAGGCCTAGACATATTCCAAGCGCCTGTGCCTGAATGCTCTGTATCATGCGTCGACTTGTTTTGCTGGCGTTTGATAATGCAGGCAGACTGTATCGTAAAAAGCCAAGGAAAAGCACCCTGTTCAGTCGTAACATAGCATTAGGCTGCATTCCCCAAGTCTTTTCAGTGAGAAACTTGAAAATATGGCATATGCTGTCAATCGCTTTTTCAAATACGACACATGCGGGCTCCATGATATGTCTCTGTCGACTATGACACCCAGAAATTGGTGAGATCAACGATATGTTATAATTTGACCGTTGATTGACACTCTGTAATTCGACATCGGTTTGCGCGTAAATGCCAGAAGAGCGCACTTTCTGGAGGAAATTTCCAGGCCTCGATTGCGTAGATACAAAGCAGTTGCAGTAGCAGCTCCCTGTATTCTCGCTCGTAACTGCAGGCGAGTTACCGCAGATGTCCAGATGCAGATGTCATCAGCGTATGTTGATAGATAAATATTGTTTGGTAGGTGCGTATGGAGAGCGATTAGTGTTATATTGAATAGCACGGGGCTCAGTACACCACCCTGAGGGACGCCACGACAACTGAAATGTGCAGACGTGTTCCCGGTCTTTTTACTCACAAAATAGGATCGCATTTGGAGATAACTGCGTATCCACCTAAACATTCGGCCACCCACTCCAATCTCTTCTAGTGCGGTAAGGACGCCTTCATGTGTAACGTTATCATAGGCTCCTTTGACGTCAAGGAACAGAGAGGCGCAAAGACGCTTATGGCCTCTCTCGTGTTCAACGTACGTGATTAGGTCGATGACGCTATCGATCGATGATCGACCACGTCAAAAGCCAGCCATGGCATTCGGGTAGATCTCATGATACTCCAAGTACCACTCGAGTTGGCCGAGAATCATTCTCTCCTTCACTTTACCCACGCAACTAGCCTATGCGATCGGGCGATAGGAGGAGAGTTCCAATGGTGATTTGCCAGGTTTTAGCAGTGGTTATAGACGACTAGTTTTCCAACTTAAGCGGACAGTGGCCTCTAGCCAACAATCATTATATAACTGAAGTAGAGCTATTCTCGTGCGCTCACCCAGATGACACAGGGCTCTGTAGGAGATTCGTCAGGTACTGGTGCGGAGGTACGTTTGCATGAAGCGAGTGCTGCCTTGAGCTCCTGAATGGTGAACGGGAAGCCCATACAGGAATTACATGGTGGCAGACAATTGCTCGAAAGTGGTGAGCTGCTAAATGCTGTAGTTTGCCCTGATGATCCGGCACAAAACTCTTCAGCAACGTCCACATCTGGTCGATTTTGGTGAAGGGCTAAGGCCTTAAATGGTGACTTCTAAATGGGGGATGACCGCAAACCTCTTACCGTCCTCCATATCTGCCATAAAGGCTTACGAGGATCGAGTGACTCGCGGAAAGTAATCCAGCGATGGAAGAGTTCGAAGAGGAGAGTTGAAGCATTTGCACAGCTTGGCCGAACGCAGTATTTCTCTGCATTAGATGAACCCAGTACAGGAAATGCTTTTCCCTTGTAATACATGTCGAAGGTGAGTACGCGTGGTTTCTTGGATAGTGATGGCATCCAGTGGGAGACATCCTGCTTCCGCTACACTTCCCAATGCTGATAAGCTCTTCGGGAGCCCCATACATATTCGTAGGCAACTGTTGCGTGCGGCTTCAAAGATTATCTTATTCACTGAGGATAATTGGTAAAGCACCGGTAGACAATAGCGTAAAGCTCCTTCAATGTCTACTTTCTGAAGCAGTACCAATGAGCGACATCTACATCCCCATCGTGTTCCAGCCATGAAGTTGAAGAGTTGAGATGCTGCTACTAGTATAGTTCGAAGTTTCTTCACCTGAGGAGACCAGGAAAGATTTCTGTCGATGACGAATCCCAGAAATCTTTGAGACCGTACATAGGTCAGCGGCCGTCCACAAAGGAGTAGTGCATACTTGCTCATTTTCTTTCTCGTGAAAGCAATAGCTGTGCTCTTTTCTGGTGAACGGTGCATACCTTGGGGCGCTAGATATGTGGAGATGTTCTGTAAAGCTTTTTAAAGTCGCTGTTTCATGATTTAACATGACCTTGAAGTGTTCCAGATAAAGATGTCATCGGCGTAAATCGTGATGTGTACTCCTTGAGGAAGTTGTGTATCAGGGTAAAGTTGAAAAGAAGCGGGCTGAGCACGGAATCCTGGGGCACACCCTTTTCTACTGTATGGAACTGTGTGGGACCATTTAAAGTGCTGATATATATTTTCCGCTTTTTAGATAGTTCTCATTCTATGTGTATAGATTCCTTCCCAGGGCAAGATCGTTCATGGTTGCGAGAATGGCATGGTGAAAAACTGAGTCGAAAGCTGCCTTAATGTCAAGGAATACGGCTGTCGGGATTCGACCTGCGGAGAGGTCCTTTTTAAGGGAAAAGACAAGTGCGATGACATTGTTGATAGCCGACTTGCCTTGGCGCAACCCATTCACCTTTTGTGGAAATTTGTTGTGGCTTTCTAGGAACCGTGCCCATCGCTTGTGAATCATTCACTCCGTGAGTTTACCAACACAACTCAGTAGGGCGACAGGCCGGAAAGAGGTGTAGCTTATTGGCTGCTTACCAGGTTTCAAAATGGGAACTACTTCCGCCAGTTTCCACCCAGCGGGGACCACTCCAGACATCTACGAGGAATTATAATATTCTAGGAGTCGTAGGTAGCACGCGTGGGGTAGCTTTGCAATGGCTTCATAGGTTACTTCGTCATGGCCAGATGATGTATGCCTGTTTGACTCACCGATAGCAGTGTTCAGTTTCTCAATTGTAAAAGGCATGTCTAGCACTGGCACTGCCGCTCGTGAGTTGCCAGGCTGGTTCCCTGCAGATGAGGACCAAAGCATTGAATTTGTTGATAGTAGTGCGCAATATCCTTCTGAGAGCTCTTTGAGGGATTTTCGCTCCTGCAGGAAGAGGTCTACGAAAGGGTGAAGCTTCTGGAGTGGCATGCGCATGCCTCTAAAAACCCGCCAGATTTTGGACACAGGTTGACGAACATTTAATGGTGAACAAAAGCCACGCCATCTTTGCCAGCTATGTTTATTTAGGTAGCGCTGAATATGACGCTGTGTCCGTCGGCAGGCTCGGACGTCTTCTAAACTCTCTGTGCGCAGAACTTTCCGTACAACTCGCCTGCGAATAGCACACAGTCTTTCAAACTCCTACTTATTTGACGGAAGAATGTGAATTCTTCTAGGCAATGAGCCATCGTAGCGAGTAATTCATCATCCTTTTCAGCGGCAGTGATTCCCTTTCCTCTGCGTCGTTCTACGCATTCCAATCTGTGGGTCTCATGACGGTTCTTCTTGATGTCATATTTGTACCAGCAGGTGATATTATGATTGGGTAGTGATCACTCTCGCGCGTTTCCAAGTTGGAGCAGCTGTCAAACTTGTGAGCGACTGAACTTGTTACGGAGGTCACATCAATGCTACTGGTAGTCGTGGTGCCTCGTAGGTGGGTGCTTGGTGCTGCCGTCATTTAGAGGCTCAATTGAATGTTTTGAGAGCAGCTCTGCAAGCTTAGCTCCTCGAGAACAAGTGTGTGAGCTGCCCGAAATTTTCTTGTGGGCATTGAAGTCTCCACAAATGATGTGGGGGAAGGCGCCCTTGAAATCAAGTTTTCAAGCCTTGAGGCGACAAAAGGCATGCCTGGTTCCAGGTATACTCCGATGAGAGTGTATTCCTGTTTGCCTATTATTGTTATGACACACACATATTCGTTGTCACAGTGGGGCGGGAAATCTATCGCGGAGGCTGGAATGTCTCTACGAAAGCCGATGAGTAATATACAGATACCGTCAGGTCACTTTGAGTGATGAAAATAGTATCCGTTCATTCTGAATTTTGGGTCGACGTGCGATTCACAAATGATGATGAATGGGAATCGGTATTCTCGCACCAGTCGCCGGAAGTCTGAGAGCTTCGAGCGAAGGCCACGAGCGTTACACTGGAATATGGTGCGTGTGCGGAAGATTCTGTGACTGGTCAGTTCAGGTGAAGATGTCGTTGCGGAAGGCATGATTACTACTGCGAGGGAGAATGCCCTTGCGACACCAACGGCTTCATTGAAAGAATTGCTTCTACCTCTGGGATATTTCTTGACAAAAGATTTGGGCGGACAAGGTCTTTGAGAGCTGCGAACAGCATCGGAATCAGAATGCGTGAAAAACCTTCGTCTGCTTTCATGTTGTTGCCTTTCGCAGATCCCCCTCTCGTGTTGCGGTGGCTGAGACTGGTGACGACTGTACTCGATCGATGAATCTTGTGAGACGCTTTGTGGTAGTTTTTAGAGATGCGATGTTCCAGTCGGCTTCTCACGTTTCTTTTTCGTCACAACAGCGTACGTGTCACCAGATGCCTTTCGGCTTTGTGGCAATCTTTCCTGGGAGAAGTCTTTCATATTTGTGAATACACCTTCTGGATTACGCGGTGGTTCATTGCGCCTTTGTGGTTTCCCTTGTGCTTGCTCCGACGAGCATGCAGGTGTAGCAGCCTTCTTTTTAACGCACCCTCCATTTGAATCAGTGTGGGGACTACCACAGTTAGCACATTTAGGTTGTGCTCTTGGGGTACACTTTTTGTGTGAATAAGGACCAGCACAGACTTTTCAGTGCACCGGGCCAGTGCAATGTCTTGATATATGATCATGCCTCTGGCATTTATAACACTGTGTAGCTGCCCCGATGTACTCGGCCAACGGGTAGCTACAGAACCCAAACGTAACTCGTTTAGGTAGTGGTGAATCCTTGCCGAATTCGAAAATAATGGATAGACAACGTACTTCTTTCACCTTGCCGCCATCTTCGGGTGTGTAGGTGGAGAGTCTCCTTGTCGACACGACGCCCTGATCACGTATATAGTCTTGTAAGTCTTCATTTGAGTAACTCAGAGGAGCATCTTGTATTTTCCTATAGTAACCTGTGTAAGAGTACGGGACCCTGGCTTCCACAGGTACGCCTCCTAATTCTGTCATCGTTAGTAGACGGTTGGTGGCTGGCAGGGTCGACACTGGTACCATCAGGCTTCCGTCGTTGTTAAGGCGATGGTTAAGAACTTTCTCTTGAGCTGACGTTACAACGACTGATGCGACAGTGTTAGCGTTGACTTTCCATAAGCTTCCTCCATCCGGGGTAGGTCTGAAGACAACAGGAACGTCAGTACCCCTTTTTTTCTTGTACGATACAACTATGAAGGATGTCTGGTCCATATCCTCTGCTTTTTTATCCGAAGGATTGGAGCCGTCTTGGTCATCCTGTAGTCTCTTGTTCGCAGGGCTACAGGGCTCCAGGAGTAGTAGTTGCCACCACTGCCAAAGATGCGGCGTCGAGTGCATCTGGCGGCGTTGTTCCGTGCCATGGCGGGTAAGTCACAGGCCATCTAGAAGTCTGTTTGATGTGCTTTTCTGGGTGGGCGGGGACCTCCACGTCATCATGGTGTGAGTACGAAGCACAAACAAGTAATGCAAACTGTTAGACTGAAAAAAATAGATAAAAATTATGAACTGATTTAACACAGGCAGTGCTTCAGAACATCGTCGTCTTCTTCCCTCTCTCGTAATCACGTGGTGCCTTTGTGAGGTTAAACGCCACCAGTGGTAATCGAAACGTTCTGAACTTCTTTAGCCAGTCCTTTTACTATTGATGCGTTACCTATTTTCACTACGCCTGCAGCCAACCTGACGAAGTACTGACAAATCACCCATTTACCGAAAAAGAGATATGAGCTTCGTGACGTCACAGTGAAATTCGCGTGCTGTTTTTCCGACGCGAAATTTAATATCGTAAAGCTTCACTTTCTCTTAATATAAAAATTAGGCAGATCTCACGTACCTGGGAATCGACGTTATGCGAAGCATGCGGAGGGGAGGTGACCTTGTTGCATTTTTTTATTGTGCGGTACGTCATGAAGTGATGCTAAATATATGTACAAGTGTTGCGTGCACAGACATATGTTGAAGAGTTGCAGATGTTAACATAACCACTTGTTTGCACTTGCACAACGATACCCAATGAAACATGCGTATTAGCAACACCAGAAGCTGACATGAAGCGCTGATGCTCGCGAGGATGCTGGTCCTGGACGCTGCAACATAAATCAATTCCAGCGCATGGCAACTAACCACAATTCACGTTAACCCGACGTAACGGCTGTATCAAAGGAGTACATAGGTAATGTTTATGAAATTGGGTAAGTAGCACTGCAACCACTATTGACGTTTCACGAATATTAGCGTCATTTTCATAAGTTTTCCGAGAGCTGGCGTAGCTCTGTTGTAAAATGCTTCATTGCCACGCAGAGTGCATGGGTTTGATTCCAGCTATTCGTTGGGTCGACGCTACCGACGTCGGATATTTCTTAACGCTCGCACGTTAAAATTGCCCATGTGGGTTCTCGTCCTTTTTGGTTAGCTACTAAGCGTCAATCACCTGTGACACCTGCATACCAGCGGCACATACCCGCCCGTGGGTATGTGCCACTGTCTAGATGGAAGTGTTTGACGACGTACGCGACGGGATTGTGTCGTTATTCATGTCTTGACCAGTGCATCTTATATGTAAAAGAATCTTACCCTCCCATGCTAATTTTGTTTCACGCGTCAAGTTAAGCGGGTGACCACGAGAGCACTCAAACATAGAAAGAGAGAGAGAAATAAATAAAAGGAAGAGACGGAGAGGTTAACCTAGAAGAACTGGTTTGCTATAAGGCTCGGCAATAGAATATAGTGATATAAAACAAATTATTAAAAAAATTCACATGCACACACAAGCAAGGCGTTCTTATCACAGTCGTTAGGACAGTCTAGTTGAATGCAAGAAGCACAGGAGCGCCTTCACAGCCTTCTTCTGCGACATAAAGTCCTGTCGGTAGCGCAGGATTCTTTCTTCTGAAAGAGTCTGGTTGTCCAGTTCCTCTAGTGCATTGCAGAGCGTCTGTCTCTACGATCAGTATTGTGGGCATTCGCACAGAATGTGCAAAGTTGTTTCGTGAGTGCCGCAATGGTCGTATGCAGCAGTGTCTGCCATTCCTATGCGGAACGCGTACGCATTGGTAAATGCGACACTCACCCACACTCAAACAAAAGCTGCTAGATAGGTAGATACGCTCAAAGTCACCGAAGTTTGCTAAGAAATGCTTCGCATTATTAAGCCTATGTCGGCGAAGTTAAGTAAATCGCAGAGTTCGCAATAAGTAATTTGTTATACTATACACCACGCATTCCTGTTGTGTCGCTTAGGTAGTATACCATCCAAAAGCCGGGCCTTGTACTACCCTTTCCTACAGACATGGTCACATCACGACCTACTGTACTGTAGACCTGCCCAGCTGGTGGTGGTCTATACGGAGCTGCCTGCGCCGGCTCGGATTCAGAACTTCGCCGCCTAGGGGGCGCTCGAGTTACCCCAGCTGAGACCTGCGAACACTTGATAATGTTCTGTAAAGGGCTTCATCCTATAGTTCAGGATGATAGCGCAGAGTTTTTCAAAGCACTGGGGTTTAGGGACAGCGAAGGCAAAATAGACTTTAAGCGGGTAGACTTAACCAGAAGGAGGTTATCTGATTTGTGGCTAAAGTCAAGGCACGAGTGAAAATAAACTCTTCACTGCAAAGTACGAATGCTCAACCTCACTATTTAAAGGGAAAAAAAGATAAATATAATGGTTAGTTCACAAAGTATTACGGCTAGGTGGCGTTAGCTGCCGCCCGATTTAAAGGGTACAGCCACATCCATCCATCCATCCATGAGCGCTGGTGGATGCATGGAAATGCACGGGTTGCCGCCGGTTAGAGAAGAGTTTCATCACGCATTGAGTAAGTGTGG